AAATCTTACTAATTTCGATAAAATATCACCGTATTTTTTGGTTATCTGGAAAACTAATAAGAATTTTCAAAAATTACGTTTCTAACTTACTAACTGTAATCAAATTCCAATTTATAATTGTACACGATTTTACCAAAAAAAAATTGGTACTTACAGAATAAAAAATCCCCTCATTTTAAAACCAGTATCGTTTAGATTAAAATCTAAAATTAATTACAATCTGTATATTATGTTCCTAAATTAATCTGATAGCCAATTGGACCATATGATTGGATAATGTCCGTCACGGGGTCATTTGATTAGCCATCAGATTATTTTGGGAACAAATACAGATTTAGTGATATATTTATTATTTAATGAATATTAGGAAAATACTAAAGTCCCAAATCCTATATCATTCTAAATACTCCATTTTAAATAAAAATATTTGAAAACAGTTTTTCACATGCATAAATTAAATTTTTGAAATTTATACTTTTAAATCAGAATTTATTTTATAAATTTCTACTGAAGAACCTACTTTAAATATATTAATTTTCCATAGAGATACTTCAAGTGGCATAGGATTTTTGAGATAGCTGACTGTATAAATTTGTTTTTAGGAATATTTCTATGTACATAACTTATATGCTATAGGTAATGATTTAGATTTAAAAAAAATCTATTTGAATATATTATTTTAACAATTTAAAAAAACACGATTATTATTTTCCTTAATCTAATCTTGATAACTCACTATCACCTATATATATATATGTGTATGTGTGTGTGTGTGTCTGGATGAAAAATATATTATTTGTTTAAGAAAGAATTATTTTTTGTTGATCGTGTTAAATTGTGTAGTAGAATACCTAATAATATTAAATATTAATAACATAGCCATAGTAAGATACTACTTTACAACCTATTCAAGATATTTTTCAGACACATAAATTTGAACAACGTGTTACATACTAGTATATCATGTTGAATGTTCTGTAGACACTGCGTCCGAAAATTCTTCATAGGAAATATGGGGAGTATAGAAATGTAGTCTTTAATAGTTATAGCGTATTCACGTGACATTAAATCGGGAAATACGACCCATAAGGGTCTACCGAAAGGATATTAATTTTAGCGTTCAATTTCAGACGGTACACAAAATTTGTACGGAAAGCTAACAAAATTACATACATGTACATTGTATAACATTTGTACATTATAGGAGGTGGTCGTTGAACATTATTAGCGAGACAAA